CAGAACTATTAGAGTTGTATTTAATCTCGTACACCCAACGATAGCCAATAGCTTTATGGTCAGGTGGTAGATGAACAAGAGACCAAGTATGATTACGTTTCAAAGTTGAAATTTCAACCTTCATAGGTTGTTGCCATAATGGGTTTCCAACTGCCTCATCATAGGTTTTAGGTTATGTCTGGTTGTAATAAGAGCTAGAAAACCACGTTGAGTAAGAGAAAAACGAGAGAATGAAAGGTAATGATGAAGGGGATACTTGGTGTCAGTGTTGGGACTTCAGCTAGAGGTTAAATAATTGGCTTCATAAGACATCATAATCATTATGCCAAGTTTAAGGCTGTTTGGTACAAGTAGAATGTTAGAGTGTAACGGATGTATCAAGTGGCATAGGATTAGAATTAGTGGGTAAATTTGGAGAAGGAATAGAAGGTGGGATAGGATTAGAATAGATTTTTGAGTAGGATGAATCATGAAGTGGTAAAACGAGAGTCGAAGCAGCTAATGTCAAAGTTTGTGAAGCTGGTGAAAAAGGACAACATCTTCACAAAATTTAACATCACAGCTAATAAAGAATTTTTGAGATTGCATGTCATACAATTGTAACCCTTGTGACCACATGGATATCCTATGAAAACACAAGGAATTGCCCGAGGTTCAAATTTTTGCTTAGGATATACTATAGTTGCATAACACTTACCTTAAAAAACTTTAAGATGATGAAATGTAGGTGGTCATTTGTAGAGTGCTTCAAAGGGTGTCTTGCTAGATAACAATGGTGATGATGTTCTATTTATAAGATAAACAATAGTTAAAATGCACTCTCTGAAAAATTAAGTGGAACCTGTGACTGAAAAAGGAGAAACCTAGCTACATTTAGGATATGACGATGCTTACGTTCTTCTACTAGGTTTCCACGACTTTCATTTTGTCTATAGGAAGTTCAGGCAAACCATTTACATCACTCTAAGTACTGTGTAGGTCTCAAAATTCTAATTGATTCCTCATTAATCAGTCTTATTAGTCCCTAGTACATCTTCGAGAATCGTTCCTGAAATAAAAAAGTTATTTTGTTCCCCTCTCCAACCGTGGTTGAATTTGTCACAACGAAGTTTCGATGTTTCAAGAAATCAAACTGAGACGAAAGGATAAAATTTTCACAGTTTAAAAGACATACAACACGTGTGTCAGAATTCCAATGTTATTTACAAACGCAAAAAAGGCCACGAGATACATAAGAATTCATAATGAACCCCAAAAATTAAACAAGTAATTGATGTCCCATGTCGAATACAGCTAACATACACTCCGGGTCTACACCCCTCTTTGATAATAAAGCTTCCAAGCATCTCCCTACCTTGAACAATACCTAAACTAGAAAAGGAGAAAGTGGTAAGCATGAAAATATACTTAGTAACCAACCTACTTGTAGGCTCTCATTGCTACCATCTAATACTAGATTTCCACGACTTTTCTTTGGTCTATAGCAAGTTCGGGCTCACCATTTATGGCACTCAAAGCTATTGTGTAGACCTTCAAGTTCTAATTGATTCCTCATTAATCATCTACCTTTGTTGCCCCTAGTGCCTCTTCGAGATTCGTGCCAAAAATAAAAAAGTCGCTTTGGTCGAGTGGTTAAAGCGTGTGCCAGCAAAGTACATGGGGTTAACTGTGAGAGTTTGAATGTCTCAAGCGATGTAAAGTTCTTTTTTTTTTTTTTGTACTAGCCTCCTAATGTTATTGTCCGCTTTGGCCGTTATCTCACGATCTCATAGAGGTATTTGCACCGTTATTATAAGAAATGCTTCATTCTTCTCTCCAACCTATTCTATCTGTCATGACCAAATTTTAGAGAATTCGACAAATTGAACTTCAACAAAAAAATAAATTTTCCACCGTGTAGATATACAACACCTATGTTAGAAATTCAAAGTTATTTACGGAAGATAAACATGGCATGGGATACAGAACAAATTCAAAATGAACCCCAAAAGTTTTACAACTAATTGATGTCCCAGGTCGAATACAACTACAATACACTTCGGGTCGAACCCTTGTGTGATAGTAGAGCTCTCGAGCATCTCCCCACCTTGAAAAGTAACTAAACTAGAGAAGAAGAAAGGGGTATGTATAAAAATATAGTTAGTAACCAACCAACTTGTAGGCTTTCATCGCTTCCTTCTAATACTAGGTTTCCACTACTTTTCTTTTGTCTATAAGAAGTTCGGGCTTAACCTTTATAGCGCTCTAAGCTACCATGTAGGTCACAAAGTTCTAATTGATTCCTCATCAATCATCTACCTTTGTTGTCTCTAGTGCCTCTTCAAGATTCGTGCCAAAAATAAAAAAAGTTGCTTTGGCCGAGTGGTTAAGGTGTGTGCCTGCTAAGTACATGGGGTTTCCTCGCAAGAGTTCAAATCTCTTAGGTGACGAAAAGCTTTTTTTTTGTACTAGCCAAAGGTCAGCTTTGTCTCGTTACCTCACGATCTCATAGAGGTATTCACACCCTTATTAGAAGGAATGCTTCATTCCGCTCTCTAGCCGATGTTGGATATGTCATGACCAAATTTTAGATGTTTCGACAAATTGAACTAGGAATAAAAATAAATTTTGCTTTAAAAGCGATACAAAACCTATGTTAGAAATTCAAAGTTATTTACAAAAGAAAAAAATTGCATGGGATACAAAACAATTCAAAATGAACCCCAAAAATTAAATATACTACTAATTGATGTCCTAAGTCGAATACAACTACAATACACCTCGGGTCGACACTCTTCTGTGATAGTAGAGCTCTCGAGCGTCTCTCCACCTTGAAAAATACTTGAACTAGAAAAGGTAGAGAGGGGTATGTATAAAAATATACTTAGTAATACTAGGTTTCCAAGACTTTCCTTTGGTCCATAGGAAGTTCGAGCTTACCCTTTACTGCACTCTAAGCTACCGTGTAAGTCTTGAAGTTCTAATTAATTCCTCATTAATCATCTACCTTAGCTTTCCCGAAGGTCTCTTCGAGATTCATTCCTAAAAAAAAAATCGCTTTGACCGAGTGGTTTAGGCGTGTGACTGCTATGTACATAGGGTTTCACCGCAAGAGCTTGAATCTCTTAGGCGTCGATCAGTTCATTTTTTTTGTACTAGCCAAAGGCTGCCGCTAAAAGATGTTATGCGCCAGAAGCGGAACGAATGTACTCACAACACCAATGAACAGAACCACATAAAGAGACACCAAGATATTTACGTGGGTCGGAGAGAAGAAGTTCCCCTACATCCACGGGTAGGAACCAATCACTAATAAACCAAGTGTTACAAGTGAATACCTCACTGTCACACTACAAAGACTCTCACCAATGTGTCACTCAACAAATACAATGTGACACACAAAACTCTCCCAAATCCCGATACCACTTGTTAGGAATGGATATTCAGAATGGAGGGAGAACTCTCTCGTTATATAGCATTATAGAAATAAATCTCCAACCAAGACTAAATCTAATTCAAATAACCAAATCAAATCTAATCCAAATAACAAATCAAATCTAATTCAAATAATCCAATCAAATCTAATCCAAATAACCTAACCAAATCAAATCAAAACTTATAACAATTTACAACAATCTCCACGTTGTCATAAGATCTCCAAAGTTGATAACTGGGTTGGTTGCTACCACCTCAAACATCAATACGTATGTTGGGAACTCCATCGAGCATAGAGAAAGCATATACTATTGTATCATCAAACCTTATAGGTTTTCGAATTACCCTTCGTGGTCTATTCTTGGCGATAGACTCAGGCTCGTCCACTTTTTCATTTACAAGGCTTTGCTCCTCCTGTTCTAATATATCAGACTTAATATCTACCTGATTAATAGGTTCTTCAGTAGTATCTACCTGATCAATAAGTTCTTCAGTAGGAGCAACTATATCAGGAGAGAACACCGCCTTCTCCACCTGCTTCAATGCCTCGTCATTATTTTCAATTTTCTGCAAAAACATTCCAGACTCATCGAATGTCACATCTCGACTATTAACAATCTTACTTGTTTCTGGACACCATAGCCTATAGCTTTTCATGCCTTTGTTAAAGCCCATAAACTTGACTTTTTTTAGCTATAGGATCAAGCTTTGAGTTCGTCGCATGATAATAAGTAGGACACCCAAACACATGCAATTTATCATAATCACTAACAGGAGTATCTGGCCATACCTCAAGCGGAGTTTTCCCACTATTTCCAGAAACAGGTAAACGATTCACCAAGTAAACTGCATAACTGAGAGCCTCGCCCAAAAAGCCTTACTCAATCCTGCTTGAGACAATATGCATCGAACCTTCTCTATTAATGTCTGGTTCATTCTCTCAGTAACTCCATTTTGTTGTGGCTTACCAAGAACAGTGAAGTGTCGAACGATCCCTTCATCTCGACATACTTTAAGGAATGGATCATAAGTATATTCTCCACCGTTGTCTGATCTCAGCTTTTTGATTTTCCTGTCTGTTTGATTCTCTAATTCTCTCAGTAACTCCATTTTGTTGTGGCTTACCAAGAACAGTGAAGTGTCGAACGATCCCTTCATCTCGACATACTTTAAGGAATGGATCATAAGTATATTCTCCACCGTTGTCTGATCTCAGCTTTTTGATTTTCCTGTCTGTTTGATTCTCTACCATTTTCTTCCACTCTTGGAAGATTTGGAGAACCTCGTTTTTGTGCCTCATGTGATACATCCAAACTCTCTTCGAGTAGTCATCAATAAAGGTGACAAACCACCTCTTTCCTCCCAATGAGACATTCTTCGTGGGACCCATACATTAGTGTGAACATAATCCAAAATTCTCTTTGTTTGGTGTATAGCTATACCAAACTTCACATTTTTTTGTTTACCAAATATACAATGTTCACAAAAATCAATTTTACCTGTTGTGGCACCCTTAAGGACTCCTTGGTTCACCAATGTCTGAAGCGCCTTCTCACTAGCATGCCCAAGTCTCATGTGCCATAATTTCAATATTTCCTGTCTTTCGAACTTGCCACAGCAGCATGCCCAATTATTGTGGTTTCGTTGAGGTAGTATATACTACCTCTTCTAGTTCCTTTAATTGCCACCAAAGCTCCACGAGCTACTTTCAAATTCACTCCTTCAAAAATGATGCGATAACCACTCGCATCCAAAATGCCAAGGGAAATCAAATTTTTCTTCAAGTCAGGGACATACCTCACATCATTGAGTTTTCGTATAACCCCGTCAAACATCTTGATTTGTACTGAGCTGATTCCCGTCATCTTGCAAGTACTATCATTGCCCATATAGACAACTCCACCATTGAACTCTTTGAAGTCCAAAAACATCTCTCTGTTGTAACACATATGATAGGAGCACCCAGAATCAAGAATCCATTCACGGGTTTGGCTGACTGATGAGGAGATCGTTAAGACATTATCTGTATCAGTGTCGTCATCTCTAACCACATTGGACTTCGACCTCTTCTCTTTTAAGATCAGGCAATCTTTCTTCCAATGACCTTTCTGTCGACCATATGCACACTCATTTTTATCAAGTTTTATCCAATTACCATATTTACCTCTCGACTTTGATCGGGACTCTCCACATTCACTCCTTTTCCAAGTAGAAGTCCTTTCACGAGCAGTGAGAACATTTGAGCTAGAGTCTTGATATGTCCCCTTTTCCTTCTTTTGCACCTCATTATTCATCAAGGCATTTGAAACATCTTCAAAATTAATATCATAGGCTCCATGCAGTAGAGTGGTTACTAAAAACTTGTAGGACTCCGGCAAGGAATTCAATAACAACAACGCCTTGTCTTCGTCATCAAGATTGATCAAATCAGTGATGATTTTGTTAAAATCATCCAAATGATCAGCCATTGAGATACCTTCCTTGTAGTAAAAACGGAAGAGTTTCTTCTTCAAATACAGTTTATTTTCCACACTCTTCTGCATATATTTTGCCTCAAGCTTGTCCCATAGTTCTTTCGCCATGGTCACCTTCATAAATGGATATTTCTGATCTTTGCCAAGACAGGATCGAATAATTCCGCTAGCTTGCCAATTTAATTTCGTCCATTCTGCTTCTGTCATGTCTTCAAGCATCACCTCTTGGAGAGTAGCATCAAGATCTTGCATGACCAGCAAATCGCTAACTTCGCCTCGCCAAACACCAAAATTATTCGTTCCATTAAATTTCTCTACTTCGAGATTAGAACGACACAATCTTGATCCACGCTATGATTTAATTCAAGATGATTCTGCCATAAGCACAATTGTGAGCACGTCTAGTGGTCGATGAGGCAAAAACTTTCACAATACCTCAAATACCACAATCAGGCTCTGATACCACTTGTTATGCGCCGAAAGCGGAACGAATGTACTCACAACACCAATGAACAGAATCACACAAAGAGACACCAAGATATTTACGTGGTTCGGAGAGAAGAAGTCTTCCTACATCCATGGGTAGCAACCAATCACTAATAAACCAAGTGTTACAAGTGAATACCTCACTGTCACACTACAAAGACTCTCACCAATGTGTCACTCAACAAATACAATGTGACACACAAAACTCTCCCACCCGATACCACTTGTTAGGAATGGATATTCTGAATGGAGGGAGAACTCTCTCGTTATATAGCATTATAGAATCAAATCTCCAACCAAGACTAACTCTAATTCAAATAACCAAATCAAATCTAATCCAAATAACCAATCAAATCTAATCCAAATAACCAGTCAAATCTAATTCAAATAATCCAATCAAATCTAATCCAAATAACCTAACCAAATCAAATCAAAACTTATGACAATTTACAACAAAAGATATTGTCCGCTTTCGCCTGTTACCTCACAATCTCATAGAAGAATTCACACCCTTATTATAATAAATGCTTCATTCCCAACTCCAATCGTGGTTGGATCTGTCATGACCGAATTTTAAGTATTCATCGGTTATTTTAGAGGTTTCGACAAATCGACTGCGATGAAGAAATAAATTTTGCTCAGTTTAAAAGACATACAACACTTACGACACAAATTCAAAGTTATTTACATAAGCAAAAAAAAAAAGGACATGGGATGCAAAACAATTAAAAGTGAACCCCAGAAATTATACAACTAATTGATGTCGCAAGTCGAATACAACTAACATATGCTCCGGGTCGACACCCCTCTGTGATAGTAAAGCTCTCGTGCATCTCCCCACCTTGAATAGTACCTGAACTAGAAAAGGAGAAAGTGGTAAGCATAAAAATATACTTAGTAACCAACCTACTTGTAGGCTCTCATCGCTTCCTTCTAATACTAGATTTCCACGACTTTCCTTTGGTCTATAGCAAGTTCGGGCTTACCATTTACGGCGCTCATGGCTACCGTGTAGGCCTTGAAGTTCTAATTGATTCCTCATTATTCATCTACGTTTGTTGTCCTTAGTGCCTCTTCGAGATTCGTGCCAAAAATAAAAAAGTTGCATTATTGGAGTGGTTAAAGCGTGTGTCAGCTTTGTACAAGGCGTTTCCCCTGAGAGTTTGAATCTCTCAGGCAACCTAAAGTTTTTTTTTTTTTTTTTTTTTTTTTTGT